TTACTGAGGCATACTGTTAAGTTGGACCCCTTGGGGTACTTTTTCTCTCGAGTTCCTCAGGACCACAAAGGTGGGACATTTGTAAATATCCTTCTGTGCACAGAGTCTCTGATTGGCTTGTCAGCGTATCTTGCTCCCAGACATCTGCACAGAGGAAGAAAGGATGCTCTGGCAAGTTGGTTGGTCTTCTGGGCCTCCCTGGCATCTTGTTACAAGTCAGAGTGCTTTTCCTGGTCATCGCCAGACAGTGGAAGACACTTTCATCTGTTTCCAGAGTTACCTACCTGAATAGCTCCTGACGTGATCTACTCTGCTGCTCTTTGGCTACTCTGGAAGGTGTGTTGGGCAGTGATCTTACATGACAAGGTGCCTTGGGGCCCTGCTTAGGGATTTGCCACATTTGTTGGTCAGGAATGTACCAGTGATATCCATATAAAATCATAACTCACTGATGTCAGGTCATGTTAGGGTTACATGACTCATACATTTATATATGCAATGTACACAATTCTCTTATAACAGATTTTAAAATAAACAGGGAAGAAAACTCAGGGTTAATCCATTAAAAATTACATCAGAAAAGTTGCTTTTCCCCCCTCTTTCTTCCCTGTAGTAGCTTGACCTTGCTGGGATGCCAGGTGCCCACCAAACCACTCTATCAGTCCCTGTTCTCAGCTGGACAGGGGACAGAAAATACAATGGAAAAGGACTCATAGGTTGAGATAAGGCAGTTTACCTAAGCAAAAGTGGAAGTTAGGGTGCACACAAACAAAGAGAAAAAAATAAAAGTTTTATCCTCTATTTCTCACCAGCAAATGATGTCTGGCTACCTCCTGGGAAGCAAGGCTTCAGCACTTGGAGTGGCTGCTCCATAAGGCAAAAATTGTAAATAAGGAATGATTCCCCTTCCTTCTTTTTCATTTAGCTTTTATATCTGAGCTGATGTCCTATGGTATGGAACATCCATTTGTTAGTTTGGGTCAGCTGGCCTAGATGTCTCCCTTCCCAGGGTCAGCCTTCTGATGGAGGGGGAAGGTTGCAGAGCTCTGTGGCTGTGCCAGCCCTGCTCAGCAGTGGCCAAAGCACAGGTGAGTTATCAGCACCATCCACTGAAAGGGTTACCCCATTCAGGCCTTCATATAGCCTCTACCTTAGTGAAACACAATAACTTTTAGAGCAAGATTCTTGAAGGTGTTCTTCACTTTATTTCACCACGAGGCCCACTCTAGACTACCTCTTGGCCACTCTTCTTGGTTAAATTAGATACTATTTCTTTGGATCTGCAAATCACTCTCTGTTAAGCTTTCTGCACAGTTCTCCTGACTGGAAAAATTAACTCCCACCCTTTGACTTTGGTGACTTTTAGGCGCTTTTGTTTGTGAAGTAGACAGAAATCAGTATGTTAACAAACATGCTGGATGTATAAGGGAATTAAGTGCAAGTAGGTAGTTTGTTTGGTTGAAACCAGATACTGTGACACTTGCTCCCACAGCAATTTGACCCTCCCCTTTAGCCTTTCTCACTTCAGCTCCCGGTATTGCAGCTGTCAGTCTCAGCTCCCCCTCTCCTCTCAACCCTGTGACCAGGGCTGTGCCTACACTCTGGATGCCAGAGCCAGCTCCAGACTCACTGCATGGTGTTAATGTGCTACCAGCTTCCCAGAAAGGAGGTGATCCCATCACATGGCAGACGGCTGAAATTGCTTAGGCAGCTCTTGTCCTCAAAGTACCCATTCTCCTCTGAAGTTGAAGGGTTCATATGTGGGTATCTGCAGATAGTGTTTCAATGTTGTGTGTGTAAAACGTGAGAATTGCAGTGGTTTGTAACCTAATGGGGCAAAATGTGAACATAAATACCGTGTTGTTTTAATCAGGCAATTGGCTAGATACGACTTTTAAGCCTTCTGGAATTTTGTTCTGTAAATTCTCTCTGTTCATGTTTACTCAACTGATTTCAATCCTTCTAGATCCTATGAAATCACACAATCCTAGAATTGTTTAGGTTGCAAAAGGCCAAGCAGCAATCTAACACTGCCAGGCCCACAACAAAGTTATGTGTCTAAGGGCCATATACACATGATTTCTGAACACTTCCAGGTACTGTGATTCCACCACTTACCTGGCAGCCTGTTCTACCCTCTCAATGAGTAAGTTTTTCCTAATATCCAGTCTAAGCCTCCCCCAGCACAACCTGAGGCTGATCAGAATGAGGTACAAATAAATTTTGTGCATGTATTGAGCCTTATCATGAGCTGGATGCATTTGAAGCAAGGGCAATTCATACCTGAACTACCTTTAAACAAAGTATGACAGCTGAGGCAACAAGGCCACCACTCAGCCTGTTTGACCACACAGCTACCCAGTACACTGGGTAGGCTTCCCACTGTGCTGAACTGCCCAGCACTGGGCAGGACACTTCTGTGGACACTTACATCTTTATCTTGAAGTCCAGTCTGAGCAGTGCCTTGCTGAGCACACCAGGATGAATTCCGGCCGAGAAACAGAGAACTGGAACCACATCCCTGCATGTGCTCTGGGTGAGTATTTGGTGCAGGACCTCAGTAATGCTGGATATGAGATAATTATGGGTATCAGCCTCTGTTTTGGCAATCCTGAGGGCTCATCACTCGTGTGACTCTGGCTGTGCTGGGATCTGTTTTACCTTGCACAGCAGTGTGCTTCTGGAGCCTGGGATCCATTCACACAACTCTCCAAAAAGAGAAGCAGGTTTTTAGTGGGTCATTTCTGATGTCCCAGCTTTATGAAGGGAATTTTACCTAGCCAGATGGGTGAGTGGCAGCACAAGGGCAAAACCTAGCAAGGTGTTGGTTGCTCTGTCAATACACACATGCTGACTGGCCACCTGGCTCCCATCTCTGGCCACACAGTGGCTGGATTCCTTTGGCAGAATCAGCTTGGTTCTTTTTCATTTACCCAAAGAAGTGTTTTATCTTTGATATCTTCATCATCCAGTCAAATGTGAATAAAAATATTCTGGTTTTTCAAAAGAGAGAAGGAAAGAGAAATGTATGAGTGGGCAGATTGTGATCATCTAAACCTTATTTCCTTAGAAACCATAAGTAATCATGGACCTCCAGAATTCTGGAAAATAAGAAAAACTCTCTGGAATGTTACAAATGAGAATATAGTATAAAGGGCAAAATGTGTTCTAGGTTTAATGCTTAGGTTCAAAGCAGTAGGGCTATGAAGCCAAAGCTGGAATACATATGGGGAGGGGATTTGATTTTGATGACTAGAAGCCAAAACATGGCCATCTCAAACCAAATTTCCTTCCTTCTGTACAGTTTTCTGAGGTAGGATTTAGTGTTTTCCCTGGAGAGAAAAATTAAATGTTTTCTTGGAGAGTATTTCTAAAACTGAAGCCTACATGCTTGTGACATCAAATCACAAATGTAGTGCTATATTGCCCTGTGGGCATGGAAATTTCAAGCTCTTGAGTACACTATTATAATAAGTTTAAAATGCATTTCTTGCAAACAGTGTAATTCCTGGAGACACTTTAGTTGTACATTGGCTTACAGATTGTTATCACAGTTATGTAAATAAAAGAAGAAAATATTTCTATTTCCAAACACCAGAATCAGGCTGACAGGCCTGTGCTCTCTTTGAGGGAGCAGCGGGGACTTCTGTTTTCCTCTGACTGTAAAAATGCCTTCCAACCCTTATGCAAAAGCATTAATCTTTGCTAGAAAAAAAGCAAAGCACATATATTAATTAAAATTCCTTGAAAATTTATCTCAGTATGCTTTCAAGTAACAGTTTTGAAATAATTTCACTAAAGCAGGTTAAATTTAAAGAAAGATTTGACCTGGAAAAATAGCAATGACTTTTAGTCAGTTACCCATGTCTGGCCTTGCTGTCACATTCAGGTTACGAGGCCATTGTCAGCATACTTGTCTGTTCCATGTATTTCAAGAAAACTGGGTTGTAATAAATGCCAACAACGTGTGACAACATAATGTTTAGCTCACCAAAGCTATTTCTGATGATTTGGGTTAGAAGGTAGTGAGTGGATTCCCCAGTTCATGTCTTTGCATCTTGAAAGCTCTGATTTCATTATGCTGAAGTGACTCCCCACAGACCAATATCTTGAATATCCCCTGTGAAGTTAATTTCATAGCTTTTCCTGGCATCTTGTTTCTGCATTTTCATCTGGGTTTATTTTGCCTTCACATGGTTATGAAAATTTCTCAAATTTTTAATCTGCTTTTTCCCTTGTTAATGTTTTATTTTATTACTTCCTGGTCTTCCCAGTGGGTTGATAAGACTGATTTATCTTCTATCTGATATCCATTCATATGTCTGTGAATAATCCTGCTTCCTCCTGGTCTTTCCTTTTCCATGAAAGCTCCATGTTTGAAAATGTTTTCTCTTAAACTCTTTCAAATTCAACAGCATTTTTAAAATTTTCCCCTATATCAATAAAGGAATAGAAAAAAAAATCAAGGAAAATTGATTGGAGCTAGATGTAGTTACATAGCTGTATATTTAACATGCTGTTTTTATTAACACTACCCAACATAGTGTTTGACTTCTCTCTGACAGTCACAGTAACTTGAGTTCAGTGTATTAACAGTTTTAATCTTCCTCTCATATAACATGATGATGTCTTTATAATGGTGATTTTGATTAAGTCTGGATCAATGTGAATAAATTTTCCTCATTTGATTCAAGCCATATTTATTTCTGTAAAACCCTGGGCTTCTGTACAAAAAATCAGTAGTGTGTTTTAACTGTCTCTTTTGGCTCATGAACAGACTTCAAATGCAAAGTTTTTGATGCTTAATTCAAGAAATATAATACATTTTAAAAGACTCAGTTCTTGAAAAATGTTAGAAAGCGCAAGCTATGAACCCCTGGCTTTGCTGACCTAAGGAGAGCTAACTACACTGCTATGACGTGGTAGAAACATAAGCAAAGGTAGAAGAAACTGCTGGGATAGTGGGAAGAAGCTGGTAGCTGCTACAAGGAAGAAAAACACATGTGAAGACAGTAAAACAGACCTAGGCTGGAACCAGCAGCAAGAGAAGTAGTTTTTTTGGAGCCGTGACTGAAAGCTGAAACATTATAGACTCCTAAGAACTTTTGATAGCAGTACATGATCTCATAGTAACCTGCAGAAGGCAACTGGATAACGCTTTGGACTGGATAACAACAATTTCTAGCCTGAATGATTTACCCATGCTAATGAAGATGGAAATGGGCTTTCACATCCAGCTCTTACAGGGTTTTCCTGTATGTTGTCTAAAATGGATTTTCATTTTATCACCGATGGCAGGAAATTACCCAGCTCATAACCAGGATGGAATAAACCTACCTAATCCAGGTATGAAATGGTATTCTATGAAAATAATGTTTTCCCCTAGCACTAGGGAAAAACAGTCCAGTCTGATTTGTAGTACAGATTTCCTGCATGTTATTAACGTGAAATGGACTGCTGAGTAAATCTTCTAATTTGGGCTTCTGCTAGACTAAAACCATCCACTTCAAGGATTGTCCATATCACAACAGTGAAACAGATCTCAGTGCTTGTTTTAAAATTCTGAATTGGGACTGGTATTTTAGACAATCCCAAAATTTGTTCTGGTTCTTATGAAAAAAATACTTAAATGTCTGTCTTCATTTCCTTATCCTGGGTAGGATACTGGATATCCCGGGTGGGACTGGACTGGATTATAATTATGCATCAAAAAGACTGCTACAGAATTCCCTTGAGCAGATTTAAAAGTTCTTGCATACCCTTCCACTACGGACAGTACCTTTTCCATTCTTGCCCCAGATTTGCTGCTACAGAACCAGCAACTGATTTTCTGTGGCTTACAGGTCTTCAAAAAATCACTTAAAAGCTGTACCTTTGCTTCAGCTTCATGCATCTCTACCTCTACCTTGCCTCTTGCTAAAACAAATAATTTGTGTTGTTATGGAAGCGCTCCCGCTCAAATTGTGTATGCATGCTGGTGATCTTCTGTGATGAGATACTGTACAACTTTACAGTGCCACACACTAAACACAGCAGCATGCAGGAGCTCACATGATGGTCATTTAATATCCATGACTCACAGTCCACAGGACTAGGATTCCAGCCAGATGGGATTTGTTCTAAGTGGCGTGAAATGACAAACAGTGCATGATATACAGCTGAGATACCAAACATGGTGGCCAAGCTTTTACAAAAACATGGCTCCTTTCCCTTTCCATTAAAAGAAGTAAAAACCAAAAAAATTTTAAAAAAATAAATACAATAAATTCACCTAATGACTACTGAATATTATTTTTCAAAAACTTATGAAAAATTAAGTGCCAAGATAAAGAGCATGATATCTCGGCCTTTCTAGGTGGTTTCTGCACCCTCCCTTTGTTTAATTTTTCAGTTTGAGTTTTATGTTGGAAACTGATAACTCCTCTAACTTGTGCTTGTGATATCTCTCCCTGACTTTTTTTTTGTACGTAAAACTTCAGCTTATTTTCCCTGGCTTGATATTCAGCTGGGATGTTATACAGTTGCCGAGTGCAAGAGGGATTAGATGTTACTCTGTGATTCACCCAGTCCCCGAGGACAGCTATATAAAGATCATCCTCTTCCCCTTGGCCCCAGGGAAGCTAGGGGGCAGATTACGAGCTAGCAGAAAAGACGAAGGCATAAAGAAAAAAGCTCACCGTCTGCAAAGAGGCTCCTGGAGCACACATTCTCCTGCTCTCACGTTGTACAGAACTGGGAAAAAGTGCGCTCCACTGCTCGCCTACAGTCGGCATAGACATAGAGGGGCAGCTCAAGGGAGAGCAAAGCCACTAAAAGTTCTCTTTCCCACATTGGGACTGCTGCTTTCACAGAAGTTTCTCAAGGTTTCCTTTTCCAAGGAGAAGAAGGTGGTGGGAAAGGCAGGACCCAGAGACCCTGCTGTTTACAGATGCTTTTTCCCTATGGCCTGGGAATCCTGAAATGTGATTGCCTTGTAAGGGCAGGTTATTTTCAGCCACTCCCTTCATTATGTTCCTGTTAAATCCATGGCTCAAGTGGGGCTTCTGTGCTGGAGAGATTTTGCACTGGCTCTCTGCCCAGGGATAGATTGCGGCAAGGGTAGACTCTGACAGAAATAGGTGGATATGTGTGTAGACCTCCAAGTCTTGAAACAGGAATATCACTGCTAGAGGTCAAGGTCTGAGCTTGCCAGTATTTCCCTCCTTTACTGAAGTCAGTTGATGCTCCCTTGCCAGTGCTGGCTATTTTTGTAACAGTCTCACAGTGGTAGGGATTTTCTCATTTCAGACTGTGTCACAGAAGTGACACAACTTGGGATACTTTTGACTCTCAGTTAAGAACTGCAAACTCTGCATTCTCATGTTACAATTTCTTCTAGGTTACTTGTTTACAAGTAAGAAGTACTTCAGTTTTTTAAAAATATTTAATTGTATTTTTATGTGTGTTATCTGAGGCTTTAATAATTTAAAACTATTATTTTTTCCTCTAGAAACACTTTCTGTCTTTTCTAATTTCTCAGAAACAAGGTTTTAAAACAAAAATCAAGATTATTGGGTTGAAGTTTGTTTTTCTTTTTAGCAGGTATCCAACAGTTTTAGACGGCTTTTCAAAACACTTGGAATTACAGATTTAAATCCAGAAGTCTCATATCTGGTCCTTTTCCATGTTTTTTATGAAAGAACCAAGATATGATTTGAAAAAATTGAAGAAAGAAGGAACCTGAAAGCTGACAGCTATGACAACACCTGCCTCAGCTTTCTGTGTTCTGCAAGGCACATTTAGCTATATTTATCCTTCTATTTTTGCATCACCATTTTGTCCTGCATCTCATCACATGCAGCATGGTTTTGCTGCTTCAAAGTCTTTGTCAACTGTAAAGTCGCTGCTCCATGTAGCTTGTTTGAGATTAAAAGCCCTTCCAAAATTGGGAGGTTTGTTTTTTTTTACAACAGGAGAAGTGTATTCTTCTTAATTTTTTAAAAAAATTTTATTATGAATTTTACTGCAGCACTACCTGGTATTGCCATTGGCTTTACTAAGGCTTCACTGCCTTAACTTTTGTTTTGAATGTTCATTATGTTCAAATGTGTTTTGTTTTAAAATGTGTTGCTATTCATGTTACTGAGAGCAAATTCAAAGTGCCCTGTACAAGAAGGTAATGAGATTTGTGATGATTCCCAGTTCCTTAGGGAATTATTTCAGCCTTAGATGGCACTTTGGGAGTGCTCTGTCCTTGCACAAGAAAGCTTCCCATGGTTATAAGTAGATACTTAATGTAGGGCAAGATTAAAATCCTTGGCAAAGGTTGTAATGACTTCATTGGGTCAAGGATTTTACCACAGGATAGTGAAACAAAGAAATGAACAGAAATGAACAATGTACGACTGTCTCCCTTGTGAAGGGAGAACACTTTTGGCATGGATCTTGGACCTCAACCAAGCACTTCATCTTCTGAGTGAGAGCTGTAGTGTGCATGAAAATGGATCCACACCACGCTACCTGCTGGACTTTCTGGATTGGTTTGTATTTTCTTGGCAATAATATACAAATTAGAGAGGTGTGAGTCTGCGATAATTTCTCTTCTATTAGCAGGTGACATTGGTAAAATGTATTTAAAAATTTGTCTGTCTGGCCTCAATTTCTTTACTGATAGGCAGTCTAAGCTATATTTGTTACAAATTGTTGGGCACTGAATCATAAGATATCTCTCAGAACACTGCAGTCACCTTTTGACAATAGCTGTTGCTTTCTATCAGTTTCCATTCAGTACTGAGCTATTCAAGAACTCATCTTGTGTCAGCTAGGTTCTGGAGGCTACTCCAGATGTTTTCTGGTACAAGTATGGGAAAAATGGACAGGATTATAATTTTCAATAAAATGTTGGGTTACAAAGAACCTAACAGACATTTTGCAGAATGGTTATCTCAACTCCCTAATGTCATATAATTTGGAGGGAAAGGAAGAAAATCTAAAAAAAAAGGAGGCATTGCTTGGGTTTGGAATATTAATTTTTCACTACCTAGCTCTATGCTTCCTTGATTTATTTTTCCAAGGAAGCATTTGCATTGGTAATGTGTTGACTGGGGGGAGAGAATGGTATTCTGAGCTCTATCCTGTATTTTTCAGGGCTGGCAGTGCTTTCTTACTCAATCTTGTGGTACCCTACCTCCCACAGGCATATAGATGAAAGGCCTGAATCAAATCACCTTGCTCATGTAATTCCCAACACTGCCTCTGTGCATCAACTGCTTGCCCACTGTTCCTTCTTTCTACTGTCCTGCACAATTTCTTCTGTCCTGTGAGAGGAATACATGCAATACACAATTGTGTAGGTCTAGTTGATGTATGTTTCACTTTGCTTTGCTTAATGGCTTCAGCGTGCTCACTTTTGTTTGCCACCTCCTCCCTAGTGTGGGTCTTTGACTGGAGGCCATGATTAGAGGGTCATGTCTATATGGATGTACTGGTTTCTGGTATTGGTGTACTCAGGATCAGAAGATGTTCTGAACATCTGGAGAAGATATATGAAGCTGCAGTGAAGTTGAAGGATCTGTTTCACATAACAAAATGTTAAAAGAGTCCAAAAGGCTTTTAAGTGGGAACTATTGTAGGAAACCATCTTTTCATCTACTGAATAGTTTCTCTTGTAGAAGAATGCCCCAATGCAACTTGATATCTTTTGCATCTTTAGCTTAGCAGACAGAATGAAAAGAAAAAGACATTTCTACAGTCTGCAGGAACCAAATTGTAGAATTCAGTGTCTCATTCCACTTGGACCTTGAAGGTCTTCAAAAACCATTTGAGGCAAAAGGAAAGGAAAACTTGTAATGATTAAACATTACATGTGATAATAAAACATTACAGTTTTGTAGATCAAATTTCTAGATAGAATCGGATTGATTTGTGTAGATGAATTTGCCAGGAGTTTGCCACATGGATGAAGAAATACCCAGCTTCAGAGATCCGGTATGAGGCTGGTGGGAACTCACTTCAGTAAATTCTGTGTGTCCATGTGAATGCTGGTGTCAGTGACATGAGTGGTGGCACTAACTTTTTTGGGAGGTGGGAGAAGGCACAGGGTGAGGGGATGCAAATAGCTTCAGAATAACACTTCCAGGAGGAGAGAAAGTGACTAGTAGAAAACTCTCCTGTTGTCTGTCTGTCACTCATGAAGACTGATTAACCTCTCTGCAGCTATGTCCTGGTCCTTTTGGTGAAGAACCCTGCTAGCTTTCTCATAGCGGCAAAAGTAATTTAAAAGGGAATCGACTTCAGAGGAACATAAACCACAGCAAAAGTGTATCTTTAATGATATCCCCTCCATACTTCACTGGCAGGCATTCTGC